CCCTGTCATTAACTCATTCACAGCGCTTTCTAGATATTTAATATTTTGCACTTGAACCGCATACGGTCACCTTTCCATTCCTGTTAGTTTTAGGGAACTCTTTCACAACTTGTGTAAAGCTTAATGTGGAAGTGAACCCCAGGGCTTTAGGCATTTTTGTGGAAGATAAAGGACTTCTCTTTTAATCTCTCTGCGTAAATCTGTCTTCTGGGGAACATTTATGTGTGTGCTTTGTGAAGTGGAAATAATGACCTCAAAAACTTTAAAAGGCAAGTGTAAATAAAAAAGTTGAAACTGACCATTATTCGATGTATTACGGAAGAACTTTATTGCTGTTTATTGTCCCAGAGTTTAAAACAGAAGCAGCAGTGTGAAATTCAGCCTGTTCTTCTTTCCTCCCTGTCTCCTGCATATCTTCACACTACATTAAGGTGTTGACAGTACAAAACCAAAGAATATTCTCATCAGTGTCCTGCTCTGGGAAGGTCTGTCAGCCTAGAGAGTGCGATTCTGGGGCCTGTCGAAGGGTTCAGCAGTAGAACAGCTGGAGCTGTCTCCTCTCGGAGCGTGGAGAAGTTGTGTGAAAGGTAGAGGGAGCTGCTTTCTCTTTTATTCAGATGAGAGGCCAGAAGGACTGGTGTGATAGCTTCTCAGAGCCCTCAGCTGTGGAAAGAAGGGTGGGCCTTGCTGGGTGATAGCCTTGAGCCTTTTGGCTTAAGAAATTGAACTCTTGCTGTGTGCCTAGAGAGCTCTCCAGATCTATGCTTGCAGTTCCTAAGAGGTGCCTGCCTGCTGAATGAGATACGCTGCTGCGAGGGAGACAAGATACCTCCTTTTAATGCCTTTGGTTTTCTTACAGTGTTTCTTTTCCTTGTGCAGAACACCGCAACATGCCACAAGCTGACGCCATGGTGCTGGTGGCAAGGAATTACGAGCGCTACAAAACAGAGTCACGGGAGAAGGAGCGTGAAGAAATTGCCCGGCAGGCTGCCAAGATGGCAGATGAGGCTGTGCTGCAAGAGCGAGAGCGCCCACCCCCTGTGGAGGAGGGGGCCAGAGGGGGTCACCCTCCGGCGATCCAGACTCTCTTGAACCTTCTGGCAGACAATCGCTATCTGACTGCTGAGGAGACTGATAAAGTAATTAATTACTTGAGAGACCGGAAAGAAAGGTTACTTAGGGGAAGCACTGATTCTCTGCAGGGTAAGTTGTGTCAACCCTAGACAACGCTACTGATTGTCTGGTTAGTGGGTTCTCCGGGCTGGGACAGGACAGCAGTACTGGCATTACAGAGGGGTCCTAGTGTAGTAACACTTTCACACAGCGACGTATTTTACGGAGATGGACGTGTATTCAGGAGTGCTGAGACTATTCTGATATTTCATGTGACAGAACTTTTATATTGGATTCTCTCAGGGAAACCACAGTGCTGCCATAACTGATGGGCTGCTACACAAAGGGCAACAATTATGTTGGGTGGTTTGGGTCCCCCAGAGCTATGCAGCCCTCATGTTTAGAGGGGTGGGTATTCACTGAGACTTGTGTCTTCTTGGTAGCTGCCTCACTAGTTTCCTTTAGGTGCCTCTTCAAGGGCATTTGGAGAACTTTAACTCTCTTTCTTTTGTTTCCCAGCACCCATGTCAAGACAGTCTCTGGGAGCACCTTCAGCGTCATCTCTGGGCAGTCAGTCCAGCCTTCCAAGCGCTCAAGCTCATCAGGGTTCACAGCCTCTGGTCCCTGCTCCTTCTGTTCCAGTGTCCTCTGCTAATCCTCAGCAGGAGCTTCAGGCAAAAATCCTCAGTCTCTTCAACAGTGGGGCAGCAGCAGCTGCTGTAGCAAACAGCAGTTCTGCAACCTCTGCGGGCACATCGGGTGGCACACCGAGTCAGAACTTCGCTAACATGGCCAGCGGTCAGGCCCGATCAGCACAGATGAGTGCTGGAAATTTAAACCAGGCTCAGCAGAGATTGCAGACTCCAAGCGCACAGCTTCCTGCCCTCCAAGGCCCTTCAAGAAATGCAGGTCCAAGACCTGGAGCTCCTCCGCCAGCTCAGGCACTCTATGGCCAGCACCAGAATCGCCTCCCTGCCCCTCCCAGTGTACCTGCTCAAAGGCCAGTCTCGTCTGGTATCAACTTTGACAACCCTAGTGTACAGAAAGCCTTGGACACCCTTATCCAGAGTGGTCCTGCACTCTCCCACCTAGTGAGCCAAACAGTGGCTCAGGGGCGAGCAGGGTCCTCTGCCCAGCAACCCATGGGTTCCTACCAGCGACACTATTAAAGCTGAGCTGTCAAGCCCTTTCCCCTTCCCTTTGCCATTCCATACTTATAGCTGTTTAAAAAGTCTCCTGTTCTTGACATGGGACAAATGCCCCTGGATATGCATGTCCTCTCCACTTTGGTGAGAGTGTACTCCCAGTGGCATTGCTGCTGAGTATTGCTAGTGCTGCCCTTCCTCACTTCGGTCTGGATAGCAGTGTAGCGGTGTTCAGAGAAGTGTATTTTATTTTCTCAGTGGCAGAATATGCTGAGAGCCACTGTGGGTAATTGATTGTTCTGTCTAAGCACAGAAGCTGCTGCAATGACGGTCCTTCTGCTTTTTCTCACTCCCATTAGCTGGTGTATCTTCACCATGCAATGCAGTCTGGTCTCACCAAATGGTCTTAGCACAGTTTTGGGTCAGTGGTTTTGAGAAAATGAGATGGGACTGAACAGAGCCCTCTGGAGATGCATCTTTTTGGAAGGGGCCCTATTTTTCTTTGGATTTTTTTTTTTTTTTCAATGCCACATAAACCAATCTGAGAGAGAAAGTACAATGGTAGCACTAGCAGCTGAATTCATGTAGCACGTGCCTGACCATAACTTCGTAAGCCACGACAGTACCGGTCAGTGCTTCTGTAGCTGGGCTGTCCGGTCCTGGCGGAGTGAGGCTGACAAGTGCTCCTCACCTCACCCAGCAATGCAAAACGGCAGTTCTGGTCCAAGCACAGAGGTGGATCGGAAACAAGAGCTTCTGGGTGAGGCAGGGATTTCAAGTGGTCAGTTGATTTTCCTACACCCAAGTCAAGTCGTCAATTTTAAGTTCAATATATTAAATTTGGTATATAAATTTCCTTTTCTTATAATCTTGCTTCGGCACAGTTGGTTACTGTAGCCCAACAGCTCAGCCACGCTGATGTGCTGCTGGACCTGTCTTGCAAATACCTGCAGCCCATTATCAGGTGGTGAATGTCTGCTCTCGGAAACTTCATCTGTTCGTTGGTGTTTTGTCCATCTAATGTGGAGAGGCAGTGCCGACATGCAATACTATAATTTTATACATTTTTCAACACTTTGGTAGCTGCAGTGGACAGTTGAGTGGAAAATCAGGCAGTGATATTTCACCGTGTTTTTAACCAGTAACATAATTTGATACCAGAATACAAAACTCCTCTATTTTGTCCTCCCTTGCACAGTCTTTGTGGAGTCTGTAGGCTTCCTGCAGAACCGAAAGATAGTAAGAAAGCAACATTTTGGAGCAGAGATTTTTTTGTTTTTGTCCTAGGTGGTTTGTGTTGTAGCTTTTTTTTTTTTCTTTCTGTGCTGTTAACAAAAGGACATTACTTTTTAATAAAAAGACAGGAAAAACATTTTGTTGCATTTTTGATGCCTAACAGCTTGATTACTGCTGGAATACATTATTCCACTGTGTTTGCCATTACCCTCTTCCAGGTAAGCTGCTTCAGACGCTGCCCAGCACTGGATGCCAAGTGGAAAGTGAACAAAGCTTTCCGTGCCCTCCTGTGAGAGTACCGTGGTCTGTCTCAGTTTATAGTACTGTGGTACTTACTGTCACCCACTGGACTTGGACACTGTGGACCAGATCAGCCCATGTGCTTGTTCAGGGACCAGCACGTTGGGGCTCTGTGTGATGGGGGCCAATGTGAGAGGCCCAAAAGATGCTCTAGCTGCTGGGAGCCTCCCTCAGCCCAGTGACTGGGTGCCCAGTGCTGGAACTGCACTTGCTGTTAGTTGAACAGCTGCCGCTTAAAGCTGAAGCTACCCCTCCCTGTGCATTTTAGCACCGGCCTCCCTTTGTGCTGCCCTTGTTAGACAACCTGAAATTAAATAGAATGTGTCTGTCTGCTTTCTTTCCTCTTCCTCCCTTTCTCCCCTTCTGCAACCCAGAGGCTTCCATCAGCTTAAACATGGGAACAAAATCACATTGTAGATGTGATTTATTTATTTATTTATTTTAATTTAGCATAGGTTCTGCTGCTTTCTCTGACAGTATCCTTCTGGACGTAATATCCAGCATACAGCCAAATACCTATTATGGGGGGTGAACAGGGTCTGGCTCCAAGGGTCACAGTAAATGGGGTTGCATCAGATCGTCCATCAGTCAGTAGTGGGGTTCTGCAGGGTGCCACAAATGGGGTGATGAGGCTGGAGAGCAGCCCCACAGAAAGGGATCTGGGGGCTCTGTCGGGCAGCGGGCTGACCCCGGCAGCCAGGAGGTGCCGCAGGCACGGCACGGCTGCTGCCCCAGGGAAGGGTCCTGCTCTGCTTTGCCTTGCCTCGAGCACCACGTGCACTGTGGGGCAGGGACATCACGCTGTTAGGGAGTGACAGGACCCGAGGGAACAGCACGGAAGGGTCAGGCAGGTGTTAGGGGAAGGTTCTGCACCCGGAGGTGGTCGGGCACTGAACAGGCTCCCCAGGTCACAGCACCGAGCTGCTGGAGTTCAAGGAGCACTGGGACAGTGCTCAGACACGGGGTCTGGGTTTGGGTGGTCCTGTGTGGAGCCAGGAGTGGGACCTGGTGATCCTGGGGGGTCTGTTCCAACTCCAGATGTACAATTCCATAAACTGGCACCTAACGCCGCGCCTCTCGTGCTTTGCTTCCTCTGCAATCTGACGTGCCGGTTGTTGGTTGCTCCTTGTTACTGAAATGGGGGCAGCCAAGTGCAAAGTAGCTGTGGAGACCCTGCAAGCAAGTGAAAACTCCCCATGCAAGTAGTGAAGGGTGTAATAAAATCATTTATTGCATTTTGTGCAGACAGGAGTCTAGAAAAATGAATACAGGTAAAGCAGTAAAGCATTAACAGGGAGCATTCAACAGCTGAGGAGCCACTCCTCCATTAATACCTGCACAGAGAACACAGGGGCTGTACTGAGGCGGCCTAACGCACGATACTGAAACAGTCACAGAAATTAAATGCAAGCCTAATACTTTTTTTTTTTCTTTTTAGTTTTTGGTTTGCAACCTGTTTTATTTACAAGGTTTTAAACTTAATTGCATTGCTCTGCACACAGATTCTCTAAAACACAAAGCATACTAGGTCACTACATGTCTATTGAAATATTGCACTCGAATAAAAGTCACTTGAATGGACGCAGAACACCTAGCTACAGTGATTAAAAGATTATTGAATGAACTGACTGGGTGATAACATTCATAACAAATATATTGCACATGTAGCACAGAAAGTGTTGTAACCAGCAACTCTCAGACCTGCCGGGCCTTCTGCTCGGTTTCAGTCCTGCTGCAGAGGGGGTCCCGACCCCCCCCGCGCCTCGCTGCGGCCCCGTGCCGTGGCTGCCTGGGGCAGCCGGGGGGGTGCGGGGTCCCCGGGGCAGAAACCGCCCCGTGCCCGACGGGGAGCCGCGGGCATCGTCTGCACCATGGCGAACAGCAGGAGGATGCTCCTTGGGGAAACTGAACACTCACAGAGGCCAAACGTGCAGGGCTGGGTTTGTAAACTAACATGCAGTGCTGTCTGCTAAAACTGGCCCTCTCCAGACCAAAGGCAAGTGAGAACTCACCGTGGAAACCAGCACCTTGCCTGCCGCAGCGAGAGCTGCCTGGCAGGGGGTTGAGGCAGCCCAGGCTGTGCCAAGAGCTGCGCCCTGTTCTTGCTGGAGGATGAGGAAGGGAAATGCTTCGTTTCAGTGGGACGGATGGAAACAGCTCGCCTTTCGGCTCCCCGGCGGAGCCAGGACTGCAGCTTCACCAAGGGAAGATGAAACAGGGCAGAGGGGGAGCGGGACCTGTTTGGATGCTGGGACGCGATGAAGCAAACCCGCCTGCCGGGCAGCACGCTCTGCCTGGCGTCCCCGCTGCTCAGCAGAGAATTTCTGCCCCAAAAACCCGCGTGTGCAGCCAGAGGAAGAGCTCTGCCTGGCCCTGGTGCTCCTGCCACTGGCTGCTGCTGCTGCCATAACCCCTCTGCGCTCGCTGCTGGGCAGCCCCGCAGGGCTGGGGGCAGCTGCAGGGCAAAGCCGGGCGGTGACCAGAGGGTGACTGCGGGGGGGGGTCAGCGTCTTCCGCAGGGGCAGAGCCGTTGGCAAGCGTTGCAGGCCAAACAAGCGTGGTGCTAGCACATGAGATGAGAGGGCAGGTCGGTGTGCATGCCTCCTCTGGTACTGCAGAAGTGCTTCAAATACTTTGGGGAGGCTGGAAACAGCACACGAGCTTGTGCATGGTGGTGTAGGGGCAGAGCCTGGCAAAGCCTGTGTCCCATGGGACTGCCCTTGCCCCAGGCAAAAGGAACCTTTCACCTGTGGATGCCTCCTGCTCTTGTAAAAGCGCTGAGTGCGCGGCAGAGGCAGGACCAGGAGCACTGCTCGGTGTGTCTGTTCTGCTCATCAGCCCAGAGCCTTTGTGCTGAGACTGCATCTCAGCCTGACTTTCCTCTTCTGTAAATGCTGGGCTCCCCTGGCAGCAGGGAACCAGGCTCTTGGCACTATCTGTCTTCCACACCAGTCTGTGATGCAACCTGCTGCATCTGTGCAGCGAGCTGAGCTACCATGGCAGAAAGCCTGGCTGGGGCCGGGGCTGCTGGAGAGAAGGGAGGCACTTTGGGAGTGATGGAAATGTAGGAGCAAGGTATAAACAGGCACAGATGTGCAGCTGGGGCTTGGTTTTGGTCTGGGAGTGTGTCCAAGTAGTCTCTTAAAGCAAAAAAAAAAAAAAAAAGAAAAAGCCAAAAGCCAAAAAAAGAGCACAAACGAACCAAAACTTCTTTCTATCCAAGCAGCCCCATATAGCTTTGGCCTGGAACTGGAGGAGTAGAGAAGCTCTGCAGAGGACGAGGGGACAGCGTCCTCCTGTGCAGAGGGAGCTTCCTGCCCTCCCGGAGGCTGGAGCTGGGGGCTGCGGCTGGCCCCAGCCCGCAGGACGGGTGGGCGAGAACGGGGCTGGCTGCCAGGGCCGCGGGGATGGAGCAGGTGCCAACTGCTGCCCGGCCACCCATGGGGACGCTGCACAGCACCCGCTCCTCCCTGCCGGCCGGGACGGTGCCGCGGGGCGAGGGGAGGCATCGGGGCCGTCTGGAGGGGGAGGAGGAGGAGGAGGAGGAGGAAGAGGAGGAGGAGGAGAGCTCCAGCGCTGGGCTCAGCTCTGGCCGGGTCACCCTCACTGTCCACCGCGCGTGGAGGGGACATCGCGCTGCTGTGCGGGGCCAGGCTGGCACAAAGCAGCCAGCACTGCCAGGAGAGGGCAACTCTTAGCAGGCTGCACTTCGAGTGGAAGCTCAAATCTGCTGTGAAACAAGTTCAGAAAAGTCTGTAATTTCTTTTCCCTGAAACTTTTAAGAAGCTAAATCAAGAAGAGAATGAACCCACGACCTGGCCCGTTCCCAGGGGCTGCTGATGGCTGGGGAAGGCAACAGCCCTCACCGCCACCCCAGGGCGCTCGGTGCCGGCGGGTGGGCGCCCTTTTCTTGCAGGAGCAGCCTGTCACACCTCCGTCCCCACAGCCTGGTGCTAGCATAGCCCTGCATCTCTCAGTATAGATATAGATCTCTATATATAGACTTCATCTGGTTCTATTAACATAAATATGATCACTTTAAAAATACACGTACTGTATTATGTACACTATGTACATGGGGCCGGGGCTGGATGACGGCACGCCATGGCTGCCCCCGGCACCGCTTCCTGCGTGGTTCCTGGAACCGTTCACATTTGTTAAAAGCTCCTCAGTTTCTCTGGCATGAGAGATGCTGTGGGGGACGGGGGTGGCTCTGCAGCTGCTGCCGACGGTAGGACATGTTTGAGGGGCGTCCCACGCCGTCCCGCCACGTCCTGCTGCCTGCTGCAGGGCTGTGGCAGGAGGGGACGGGCTCTGGACCACGCCACCCTGGCCAGCGGCTCCAGGGGCTCTGGGGTCTGCCCACGGCACTGCCCCAGCAGCAGCGTGGTGCTGGGGAGCGGGAGCACAGCCACGAGTGCCGGGGGGGCACAGGGCCCCTACAGCCACCTCCCTGCTGCAGGGCCCAGCCAGAGCTGCTGCAGCAGGGCTGAGACCAGTCACACAGACTTTGCATATGTTAAAAACTACCCGCAAATCCCAAGTTTCCTACAGCCCCGTGGCAGCACCTGTGCCTGCCTAGGGCCAGGGTTAGGGGCTAGGGGTGAAGCCCTGCAGACGCAGCGGGACATAGGGGACTGGTGGGCTGGCCAGTGTGGGGTCCAAACAGCCCCCAGAGCCCCCAGTGTGGCACCAGTTCCGCGCTCAGGCCACGAGCAGGCACAGGCGCCTGGGGTTGGCGGCACCCCCGCAGACCTGAGCGGCTCCGACTGATGCCGGGCACCGTGGGGCATCTGCTCCACTGCAGACACTGTGGCTCCAGGCAGTGACCGCAGCACGAGAGCCAGGGCAGAGGGAGCCGGGGTCAGCGGGGAGGGGGACAAGGATCATCGCCACCCACCCCAGGCCAGAGCTCATGCTGCAGTGGGATTGCTGCTCTCCTGGCATCCCGACCTCCTCAGCTGCCCCCCACCCTCTGCCCCCTCCAAACCATCTCGAGTGCCTCTCCGTGAGCACGGCCCATGGCCTCCAGACGGGCGGCAGCGGTCGGGGCGCTCCAGGCCCAGCACAGTCAGGGACCCCGGCCCTCCCGGAGCCAGCGGGCACTGCCGGAGGTGGGGAGAGGAGCATCCGGCGAGGAAAGCATGCTGGTGGCCTCTCTCTTCTCCCAGCACCTCCACAGAGAGGCAGGGCGTGAGCATCGGGCATCAGGCAGTCACAGGGCACAGGCACATCCAGCCAAGCTCCGCAGGGGGGTAGCAGCACAGCAGGGCCCGGGAGCCCATCTCGGCACAGCTGCCCTCCTGCCTGGCTGGGGGGGCCGCGAGGAGCAGCGTGGGGGCCGGCAGCGGGGGCTGGCCCTGCTGGGGCCGGCGGTGGCGGCAGCGCTGGGCTCCGGTGCTCAGTCCGCGGTACACTGTATATATTTATATATAAACAAGGACAGCAGTGCTGTGACGTTGCAATGAGGAACAGCTGCTCTGGTGCTGGATGCTCCCGGAAGATCTGGTGCTGCAGTTCGAATGGAGAGATCAGGGGCACGGCTAAAGCCAGGTGAAGTTTTTGCGCACCGGCTGCCATCAGGCCTTCCCTCCTCCCCTCCAGGAGCGCGGTGCAGGGGGTGGCGGGGCTCTCGGGGTGCGGACAAACCTCTCTCGCGCGGTATTTCAGGAGTAGATGGTGATGACTTCCCGGCCCCCACCACGCACCAGAAGCACTCGGTCCAGGTGCTCCGTCAGCACCTCCAGAAACTCCATGTCTGCGTGGCTGTCAAGGAGGAATGCCAAGGGGGAGCACGGGGACAGCCCTGCACCCGGGGAGCCCAGCCCGCGGCACCTACACCCCGGAGCTGCTGGGATCCTGCATGAGCCAGGGCCGGGGCCAGAGCGCATGCCTGCGCTGGCTTCATGCGGCTGGGACCACGTCTGAGCCCCTGGCAGCAGGCAGGGACCTGCCGGCCCCCATGGCCACAGCGCACCCGCCAGGCACGCAGGCTGCTGCCATCGACACGGTTGGGCTCAGGCAGAGGCAGAAGCCGTGGGAGCGCCCGGGCTCAAGCACCAGAGCAGTGCAAGAGCCCCGGCCCCACCGGGGTCCCAGTCCCGGCCCCCACCCTGCAGAGAGGCGCTGGGCCCCGGCCCCGGGGCAGCAGGAAGGATACAGTTTTCATCCCCTTTCCGGTTGCGGGGTGGCCCTGGCATGTTCAGCAGGACCAGCTTGGCGTCCTGGGACTTTTTCACGATCACTTCGTTGAGCTTCACAGCTGTGTGCATCCTCCTCACGTTGGACTGGTTCCTGGGGAGACGGCACACGTGGGCACAGGGTCGGGCACGGCAGCCACATGCAGGGCCCCAGGGGGCCCGGGGCAGGCAGGGGGGGCACGGGACAGGACCAGGCTGCAGCACGAGCTGCGGGCACAGCAAGCCCTGCCTGGCACAGCCACTGGTGGTGCCAAGCCCACACTGGTGGCTGCGAGCTGCGGGGCTGTGCCTCGGTGTGCCTGCGCTGCCTGCTCGGGCTCACGGAGCCGCCCTTGTGCACAGGGCCCACAAGCAGCTGCCGGTTCCCCCACCCTGACCCCCCAAAAAAACCCACATACTTACAGGTTCTCCCACTCCCTGCCAGGATCACGATGGGGTTGGGAAAAGAGAGAAAGGAAGAGAAAATGAGTGTCAGGCACGCACCCCAGTGCCCCCCAGCACCCCGTCCTCCTGATGCTCCTGTGTGGGGACCCCGACCTCCCCCTCCCACCCACCCCTCTGCACATGGGGGCTCGGAGCAAGGATGGAGCCAGCGCAGCCAGCCCCTGGTGCACCCATGGGCCTGGTCAAAGTGCACAGGGGACGGGGCAGCAGCATGTGGGGCCGTACGGCTTCATATTGAAGAAGTCCTTGATGCCCTCAGGGCTGACGGGGCTCTTGCTCTTGTTCTTCTCAGCCACGGTCTTCTCCTTGGTCCAGGTGAGATGCACCTTCTCAGGGGCCGTCTCCGCCTCATCGGCAGGGGACTGGGAGCTGCTGGAGAAGGTGGTGGCGTTTTTGTCGTGGATGAGCTGGACCTGCAGCAGAACAGAGGGAATGGTGGGCAGGGGGCAGGGGCCAGCGCTGGCGGCCAGGCCAGGACCCCTCGCACGGCGCCTCACCTCCTCCTCCGGCTTCTCCTCTCCGTCGCCCACCTGCTCCTCGGGGACACTCAGGCGCAGGCGTGTGTTGGCTGGGTTCTTGCGCCGGATGGAGCCGCGAGACTCGTCCGTGATGCTCTGGATCTGTGCGGGACGGGGGTCAGTGGGGGGCGCAGGGCAGAAGAGGGCTCGAGAGGAGACCCCAGCCCGGAGCTCCCACAGGACCAGCACGCGCCGAGGGGAGCTCGGGCACAGCCACCACGGGGCCAGCTCCCAGCCAGGCTGTCCTGCGGCCTCACCTCCCGCTCCCGCTCGTTCTTGGTGAGGTGCATTTGCTTGAGGATCTGGGAGCGCTGCTCCATCACCAGCGTCTTCTCGTAGGTGTAGGCAGAGATGTCGCTCTCATGCTGTGGGATGGGGAAGCAGGAGAACCTGTGGGGCTTGGCCAGCAGCACCCCCTGCTCCCCACCCCGGCCCTGCGTGGTCCCACGGGCCTGCGAGTCCCTGTGGTGCTGCCGGGCTGCACATCTGGACGAGTCTGTGCCATCTGCCCAGCTCTGCACATGACCACGATGCTGTGTGCCCCTGTGCCCCCAGTTCCGTGGTGCTGCACATCCCCGTGGCACAGCACCCTGGGCCACGGCACCCCCCCAGCCCAGCACTCACCATCTCCACCACCTCCACCTCCGCGGTGATGCGCAGGTGGTACAGGAATGTCGTCAGGTCCTTCTTCATCTGGATGCTGTTGTCATCCATCTGTGCCACCGTGAAGATACGCATCTTGCACTTGCGCCAGACCTGTGGGGAAGGACGGGCGGGACGGAGGTGTGGGCACGGCACGGTGGGGACGGCCCCAGACCCCCCCTGTGCGCAGGGCAGAGCTACCTTGTGGTGCCGCAGGAGGAAGGGCAGCAGCATCAGCATCCCCCCGTCATGGACAATCCACCAGACGTCGATGTGGCCCTCCGAGAAGCGCTCCTGGTTGCCCGGGAACATGGCAACGTTCTTGGCCACCAGCAGGGCCAGGTGCCCGGCCGTGGTCTCTCGCACCAGCTCTGGGAGGGAGAGAAGGGAAGGGAAGGGAAGGGAAGGGAAGGGAAGGGAAGGGAAGGGAAGGGAAGGGAAGGGAAGGGAAGGGAAGGGAAGGGAAGGGAAGGGAAGGGAAGGGAAGGGAAGGGAAGGGAAGGGAAGGGAAGGGAAGGGAAGGGAAGGGAAGGGAAGGGAAGGGAAAAGCACCACATTAGCCGAGACTGCTCACGGCTGCACCCCAGCAATGGCTGGGTCAGGGCCCATGAGGCCGGGGCAGCCCAGCAGCCCCGCGCAGCCCTACCGATGAAGTTCCTCCAGGTCTGGTGGTCCTCCTTCTGGCGCCAGCTGCGGGGCCAGCCCACCAGCACCGTGTTGTGCTGCAGCCCGCCCAGCCCGCTGGACTGGATGAGGTGCGACATGCCGTCCCGCAGGTTGGAGGAGATCACCACCTGGCAGAAGCCCTTCACCTTCTCCGCTTCCATCAGGCGGCGGATGGACTGGCGGCGGGAGAGACGGCGTCAGGGACCGCGGGGGCCCAGCACTGAGACAGCGCCCGGGGCTGCCCTTGGGGCGGGGGGGGTGCAGGGGGCTGGCGCTGGAGGGGAGTGGGCTGTGGGGTGCAGGCTGTGGGGTACAGGCTGTAGGGAGGGGGCTGTGGGGTGCGGTGCCCCACAGCAGGACGGTTTGGGGCTGGGACAGAGGAGGCTCGTCTGCAAGCAGAGCTGGCGCGTGGCTCTGCGCCGTGCCGAGCTGAGGGTGTCCCCGTGCCAGGGCTCTGACGGGCGGCAGAGCAGCAATTAGAGTTATTTACTCAGAGAAATTACAACATGTCTGCATGGGAGAGAAACTGTTTGCTTCTGAGGGCTTAATCTCATTAATGTGCCGCCTGGCTGGTGCGGAGGTGCGGGGGGAGGAGGGGCTCTCGCTCTGGCGGTGAGAGGCTCCCTTCCTGCACAGCCGATGCTGCGGCCACGAGGGCCGTGAGCAGGGCTGGGGCTGCGGGGACACAGCTGGGGGGCTGCTCAGCACAGCAGCACAGCAGCCCCCGCTCGTGCTGTGCCCAGCCCTGCAGTGACAGCCAGGAGCCAGGATCAGCACCTGGCTGCTGCCAGGTGTCCCGGGGAGCGGGGCAGGCATCCTATGGTGCCATTGCCCCTCTGTGCCAGTGCTTTCCCAGTGCAGCCCCATAGCAGGGCGGAAATGCCGGGTGCTCTGCAGGGACCCTGGGGCCATGGCACGGAGCTGGCGCCAGCCCCAGCGCAGGCGTCGGCGCAGGGAGGGACTGGCGAGCTCTCACCTCCTCGGCTCTCTGCGCCTGCGGGTGGTTGTCCAGGAAGGTCCCTTCCAGCACAGAGGCCACAATGGTGAGGCCCTTGCCTGCTTTGAGCTGTGAAGTGAAGGACAGGAGCTGTGGGTGCACCACGTTCTGCTCCTGATCCACACGGACCAGAACCAGCAGCTGGGGCCTGGAAGGAAGGTCCTGCAGTCAGCGCCTGCGGCCGCCCTGCCCGGCGCCGCGCCGCCGCCACCCCTCCACCCTGCGGACCTCACCTCCAGTTCTTGGTGTGGGGGGGCCCTTCCTCCAGCCGCAGCAGGGCGTAGCGGGCAGCACTCAGCGACAGCCCCCGGATCCCGTCACCCCACTCCTTCTCCGCCCTGCAGCACAGGGCAGCGCCTCAGGGGATGCTCACGGCTCCGGCCACCGGCGCCTGCACTGGGCAGCGCCAGGAGCCCGCCAGCAACGGAGCAAGGCGAGAGCCCCTCAGCACCCAGAGCATCCCGGGGGGAGCGGGCAGGTCGTGGGGAGCTGAGGACCCCTGGGTGCTGCAGGACCCCGCTGCAGGGCCAGTGGCGCTGGCCAGGATCTGCCAGCCCCTGAGCCGCCCTTACCCGCGGTACTCGATGTATTTGTAAATGAGGCCGGCGATCAGCATGGCGACCAGCGCGTAGTACCAGGAGCAGATGAACATCAGCGCCAGGCACAGGCTCATGCCCAGGAAAGAGAGGGTCCTGCAGAGGGCACCGCGCTGTCAGAGCCCCGCAGCGTGGGGCTGGGGCCGGCCGTGTGCCCGCCGCCCACCCGGCTCACCAGTGGTAGTAGCGGAAGCGTGGCCGCCAGTTGGGTGTCCGCAGCAGCGTCTGCACCGCGCAGGCCAGGTTAACGAACATGTAGCACATGAGGAAAAACCTGCAGGGAGAGAAAGAGGCTGAGCCCGGCACACCAGGAGGCTGGGCTGGACCCAGGGAGCAGCCAGGCTCCGCTGCACGCCCCGACCCCGCGGAGCTGGAGCCAGCCGGGGCCCTGCCCATGGGCACGGGGAGATGCTTCACCCCGGCTGCACTGGGACCCCTGCGGCCCCACACCCAGAGCCAATGTGGTGCACCCCCAGAGCGGCCTCTTTCGGGGTCAAGGGGCTGTGGGAGGCCGTGTGCTTGCCCCAGCCCTCCCCAAGTGGCGGAGACCCGCAGGGGCATGGAGCACGAGGCCCGGCCGCCCCCTTGCTGAAGGTGTGTGCGCACAGAGCATGCTGCCTACATGGACAGGATAGGAGCCACCTCGTCCAGGGAAGCGATCAGGATCCCGATCTCACAGATGCAGGCGGTGAGCAGCAGAGCCCATGTGGGCTCCCCGTTGGCTTTGCCATGGCCGAAGACCTGGGGCAGGAGAGCAGAGCGTTAGGGGCTCGGCAGAGGCGGCACCGCGCAGCCCGTGGGCACAGCACACAGCCCAGCCCCAGCACAGGTGGTGGAGGCCGAGCTCCAGCTTGGGAAGGGGCCCGGGGTCACTGTGCCACAGATGTACCGGTGCCATGCACCCCCTGGCCGAGCTGCTCTTGGGGCAGTGACGGAGCTGGGGAGCAGGGGCCAGCAGTGCAGGGTGTCCCCCACACACCATCCAGAGGCTCCTCGGCACAGCCTCACAGGGCCAGACGCCCCCCCCATGTACCAGAGGCTCCACAAACTGGTGCAGGTCCCACAGGGAAGTGGAGACAGGGCCAGCAGCACTGGGCACAGTCCTGTTCCCGAGAGCCACTGGCCCTGCCTGCCCCCAGGGGCTGCAGAGCAGCCCCAGCCCCCAGGGACCCTCACCAGGCAGCCAGGCAGCCGCATCTCCTGCAGCTGCGGGGTGCCGGGGAGAGGGGGCAGCGGCTGAGGGGAGGGTCTGGGGGGTGCCGGGGGCTGCGGACACATGTCTGGGCGCATTAGAGGGCGCAGGCTGCAGTCCTTGTGAGAAAGCTCAGAACATGGCTGGCAGGGTGGAGGAGCACAGTTAAAATTAGCCTGCTCTTCCCTGGGGGGAGCTGTCGGTTTGGATTTGGAGAGATGAGGTTGTGAAAACGCGTCTTCAGAGAGCAGATAAAATATTAAGCGGCACAGCAGCAGGGGGGAGGGGGATCCTGACCTTTCCCAGCACACTCCTCCCACCGACATGTCGCGTCCAAACCCATCACAGGCCGCCACGGCGCCAGTGCCCGTGGGACGAGGGCAGGCTGCTGGGCACCGCCTGGTGCCCCGGGAGTGCCGCCGGGGGGACCCGCAGCCACGGTGGGTGCTGCAGACCAGGAGCTGCGTGGGGTCTGGGGACGCTTACCCTGAGGAACGGCACGATCCCATCCCTGGAGATGGCTTGCAGGAGGCGTGGGGCTCCGGTGAGGCTCTGCAGCCCAGCCCCGCACGTGGAGAAGAAGGAGCCGATGACAATGACCCATGGGGACGGCCACGCCAGGGTGCCGACCACCAGGTTCCCGTTGACAGCTTCACCAAACCTGCAGGGCACCAGCACCTCTCACAGCTCCGTCCCCTGGCCGAGCCCCAGCCACCCTTGCCCTGAGAGTGTCGGGGTGGTGCAGGGCCAGCTCCCGCGGCCAGCTGGCCACCATGGGACACCGCAGGGGAGGGGAGGGACAGAGGGGACAGAACAGGACGGGACAGGACGGGATGGGACGGGATGGGATGGGATGGGATGGGATGGGATGGGATGGGATGGGATGGGATGGGATGATGAGATGGGAGGGGATGGGACAGGAGTGGAGAAGGGCCCTGCCCTGGCTGCTGCCTCTTGGGCAGTGCGAGCTCAGTTGGCTGGGTTCCATCCCAGCTCCTCTCCGGTGGCTGGGGGGACAGGGAGATGTGGCACGGGGGGCTTCCCATCCCCTCTGCCAGCAGGAGGCCAACTAAGGCTGCGTGCAGCTCGGATCCAGTTTGTGTTGGTGCTGGCGACCCAGAAGTGTCACCCACGGCACGCAGCCAGCTGGGCTGCCCTACATACAGGCGCTGCCTGTTGACAAACAAGGGAGCTGCACGCAGCCCGGGGCGGGAGGGACCGGCAGGTGAGCAGCAAACCACGGGGGCAGAGGCACAGGAGCCCCCAGAGCCTCTTACAAGGTTTGCACCCCCAAGAGCCTGCCCCAACAGCGCACAGCCTCAGCACCCTTCCTTTGCATACGCTGTCCCCGCCAGACCCACAGTGCCACCGTGCCTGTCCCAGTCGTCCCAGTTGTGGCTCTCTGACAAGTCCCCGTGCAGCTGTCCCTGTCCCCAGCCTGTCCCTCCCAGCTCACCCCACACCTGCCCCGCACGGCCCAGAGACACTCACTTGTCGCGCAGGACGACCCCCTCGATGCACGCCCCAAAGAGCACGACGGAGCTGATGTCTGCGGGGCAGTCAAGGAGAGCCTGGGAGGTGCAGAGCCCCCCACACCCACCCTGCCTGTCCCCGGCCCCGCACAGCAGAACGGGCAGCAGCACCCAGCTACCTTGCCAGACCCCAGCCCAGAGCAGTCTCTGCCCTGCAGCCACAGCCCGCGGGGCCTCACCCACGGCGCTGCCGAGCCCTGAAGGATACAGACCGCAGAGGTGGTGGCGATGGCCAGGATGGTGCCTGTGGGGATGGATTTCTGCGCATCCCGCAGGTCCCCGGAGCGGTTGGAGCCAGCCATGATGCCTGGGGACAGGGGAAGGTGCCGGGCTGGGAGCTGCACCGTGCGCAGCCAGGCCAGCAGCACAGCAGGACGCCCGCTGGGCCGTGTGCTGGGGCATGGAGCAGGCACGGGGCTGCCCCGCAGCAGGCTCCCCACATCCCACCAGCACTTTCCCACCTGACCCGCGCTCTGAGGCCACTGAAGGATCAGGCACAAAACCCATTTATGTGACTTGTCTCGTTAGCCCTTAATTAGCTCAAGCAGGGGAGTTAGTGGCAGTGGCTGCAGGGAAAGGGTCCTGCCACGGCTGGGCCAAGGCTGGTGCCATCGGGTCCGGCACGGCCCCATGGGATGCGCCCCCACAGCCCGGCTGCTGCTGCTGCACGTGGAGCAGGATCCCGCAGCGGGGATGCAGCTACCTGTGGCTCAGCCTGCATTATTGATGTGACACAAATCCATGAAAAATCACACCGTGCCAGCAAGCGAGCGCCAGGCGGGAGTGCTCCAGGGGCCGTGCGTGGAGCGGTGTCACAGGGCCACCAGGTGCCAGGACCCCCAGCACTGCTGGGCCCTTCCTGCAAGTGCGGCACCAGGACAGCCTGCGGGGCGTCCCGCCGGGCTCTGCAGCAGGACTGGGGCAGGGGAGGGCTCCTCCTCCCCCGGGAGCTATAAATACCGGCGCCAGGGTACGTCAGCACGGCGGAGCGAGGCACCCGGCTCCGGAGCTGCGTGGGAGGACGGGCTGTGATCCACCCCCGCGCCGGCACGGGGGCCGCGGCAGCGGGCGGCGCACGTGGGGCTCTGCAGGAGCAGGCACGGCGGCACGTGCGAGCGGGGAGCCGGCGGCACCCACCTGTGACCGAGGGGAAGTAGATGCCCACCAGCAGGGTGAAGTAGGAGGTCATGTCGCTGAAGACGTAGGGCTGGTCCATGTCCACTGGCGTGTCGGGGGGGCTCACGGAGGGCAGCCCCCGCTTCTCCACGATCACACCCTTGGTCAGGTAGGAGCTCCAGAGGTTCTCTGTGAGGAGGCACACCCGGCACAGCCAGTGTGAGGACTGTGGCTGGGGAGCTGCCCGTGCACATTGGCTGCGTCCCCGAGCCCCGCACCCAGAAGGGACAGAGCATGAGGGTGCCCAGCACCACGTCCCCTGCCCAGCCTCGCCAAGCACAGCCGCAGCCAGGGCAGCTGGTGTCCGGCCGGTGGGGGATGGCTCGTGCCCAGCCTCACATGGACTTCAGCAACACCGGGGCCACGGGGACACTGCCGGCAGCACGAACAGGCACCCAGAGCAGGTATGTCCTGCTGCTGGCAGCGTCCCTGCAAGATACTGGAGCAGCTGACATGGGATTCCAGTAGCAAATAATTAAGAGGGTAATATAATTAATGCTGATCAACATAGGTTTAAGGAAAGTGGATCGTGTCAAAGTAACTTGATAGTGTTTTTGATGGGATTATGAGTGTGGGGCTGATGTAACAGGCTTAGTGTCCCCGCGTGTGCTGCCTTGGCCACAGATCGCAGCGAGAAACTGGAGCAGCAGAAAGCAGCCAGCGCTGTGGGCACGGCTGGGCAGGGGCCGGCAGCATCGCGCTGGGGCTGCCCCGTGGGGTCTGTGCAGGTCTGCGAGGACCAGCCCGAAGCACCTGGCACTGCACATCCCTCCCCAGGAGCGAGACGTCCCCTGACCACCCCCCCTGTTACAGATGGGTCTGGCAGCCCCCACTGTGCACAGCCCTTGCCAGCTGCCACCACAGCCCATGTCCTCATACAAAAGGCACATTTCTCCCTGCATGGAGGGACCCAGAGCCTGGGGCACAGCCTGTCCCCGCACCTCCCAATTCAGTTACAGCAGCAGAGGCCACCAGCAGCCTCCTGAATGCTCAGCAAATACACTGCGCCACGTCCCCCCAGGGCTGCAGCTCTGACAGCCCAACACCCTGACCATGGCAAGGAGCATCGTCCTCCAGCACCCAGCTGAGGAGCATGAGCACCTGGGAAATGCACCAGCAGCTCCACAAAAACAGGTCAAAAGTGGCTCCTCCCAGCGCATTCACGAGGTTTTTCTGTGCCCTGGCCGCCCTCCAGGCCCGGCTGCAGAGCAGCTCCTGCTCCCCAGCGCGTGTGCTCCAGCAGCAGCAGCGCAGTACCCCCAAGGGGCAATCACTCCTCACTAAACCTCGGGTCAGGCCTTCCAAAGGCGAAGAGAAAACAAAGAGAGGATTTATTCATCCCCAGCCTTTCAGTGTCATTCAGATCTGTCGGGTTCCCACTGGCTGCTCAGAGCACCTGGCTTGGTCCTGTGGTGCAGCCGTTCCCACTACTGGCATGGCCGCACCTCAGGGCAAGAGCATCCCCCCCGCACTGCCCCACACCTCCTAGACCTGGGACCATGGCTTTCTGCTCCATGCCCGAGGGGCAGCTGCCCACGCACCCGCTGCCCACCGCGCACTCACCCTGGATGAGGCCGCTGGCAGCACCGGGGATGCCCTCAATCTCGGTCACGTTGTTCATGGTGAAATACTCGTCGCAGGTGGCGTTGAGAAAGCGGGAGGTGCAGAAGAGCTCCCAGAGCTTGGAGCCCACCGTCTCGTTGCCCTCCACCACCACCTTGGTGCAGAGGTCGAATCCGTGGCGCGAGAGGGTCCTGTTCCCCAGCAGGCAGATCCTGGGGGCGTTGGGTGCTCAGCAGGGGGCCGCCAGCCCGGCCCCGCCGCCCCGCAGGACGCCATACTCACGGGAAGCTCGGTGGGTCGAAGGCTGACTTGATGACACCGGCATAGATGGCAAGGATGGAGAGGATGACGCAGCCCAGGAAGACCAGGGCAAACTTGTTGACGTACTTGACACCCACGAACACCACGGTGGCCATGCAGGTCAGGACGCAGGTGCCGTAGACGCGCATGTTGTTGAGCATCGCCGCTGCCTCCCCGCTGGCATCCTCGGCCTTGAAGATGGCCATGGGTGGGAAGATGTAGGCCTGAAGGAAAGAATGGCATCACTGCCAGGGGAAGGAGCCTCGAAGGGCTCCTGGGGAGCACCCCTGGCCCCCCACGTGGGCACACTGCCCAGCAGCACGGGCAGGCAAGGGCAGAGCCACGCTGCCAGGGTGCGAACCCTCAGCACTGTGTGGGGGGAAGGCCCGTGGCACTCACCAGCAGGATTTCAATGGTCCCTAGGATGTACATTGCGCCGGCAAAGGTGGTGCCCAGGTAGAAGCAGAGCCCCACGGCCCCACCAAACTCAGGTCCCAGGGAGCGAGAGATCATGTAATAGGAGCCTCCCGCTGCCGGAGAGAGCGAAGGTTGGCCACAGCCAGACCCTGACTGCGCAGTCCCAGCTCGGCCAGGGTCCCAGAGGGCAGGAAGGGGCCTGGGTACCCCCAGGACACCGTTCCAGCAGGCACAGCTCAGCTGTCCTGAGCCCTGGCACAGCCAGACCGCCAGAGCCGTTCTCGGCAGCCCGGCAGCTGGGTGTGACAGCCATGGGGACACCTGTCCCCTGAGAAGCCACACAGGCACTGGAGCCCCAGGGACACGGGCCATGCCCTGCTCCATCCTCCCAGAGGAGCCCTTACAGCTGGGCAGCAGGGATCGATGGCCCCGCCGCGGCAGGATGATAAATAGCTTTAATTACACCCTGCCAGCACCATGCTGAGCCCCGCGGAGCAGCAGGGCTTGTGCAGCTCGCCTGCTCCTGGCTCTGTGGGGCCGAGCAGATGCACGGGGAAGCAGCCCCGAGCACCGCCTCTCCTGGACGGGGGCTCCCCACACCCCTGGCACCCCGGCACCCATCCTCCTCCCTCTGCTCGCCCGGGCTCTGCTAGGGGAAGCGGCTCCCCCGCGGCCGCTGCAGTCTGGCAGAGGAGGAGCCGTGTCTGACGGCTCCCGCTGCCATCTGCACCTCGCAGCTCTGGGGACGGGGCGGAGGCTCCAGCTCCACGCTCCCCCCCCGGGGAACCCACATGGGGCTGGTGGCAGAGGGTCGGGGCCGCCAGTGACAGCTGCCGCCCGGTGAGGGTGTGCGGCGTGGGGAAGTCCCAGAGCTCGGCTGGGCACATCTGGGGCTGGGGGACCCGGCAGGCGCCCACCCCGCGAGGGAGCCGGAACCCCTTGCCGCGGGTACGCGCAGACAGGGCCTTTGCTCTACCTGGCACCACGCCGTTGGTGGCAATCGCACTCATGGAAATGGCTGTCAGCATCGTCTGCAGGAGGAAACACAGCGTCAGCACCGGGCACAGCTCCCTCCTCGCTCGGGCAGCGGGGGGGGAAGCGGAACAGGAGAGCAGGGCCCCGGAGCAGGCTGTGGGCAGAGATGGCGGGGGCTTTGCCGGCAGGGCGGCTGGCTGCAACAGGGCATGCAGGTCCCTGGGCAGTGGGCACTGCTGCCACATCCCACCCACGCTGCAGGTGCAATCTGGGTCATGATTCCAACACCGTTCCGCTTCCGATTCCGCTGGGAAGCCGGGCGGCTTCTCCTTGCTAAGTGGGGCAGGAGCACCGGCTGCACGAGCACTGTTGCTCCTTGCTGCATCCTGGGGAGCCCGGCTGCCGGGGGGGGACAGACACCCCCAGCCCAACGGGAGTGCCTGGGATGAGACCGAGGGGCAGGAGCCGCGGGGAGCACTCACGCAGGAGCAGCAGAGGAAGACCATACAGAAGGACTCCATGATGCCGGCGATCCCCACCACCCAGGTGAGGCGCAGGAACAGGATGACCCCAAAGATGTTCTGGAGGCAGGGCAGGTAGACGCCCATGAAGGTGCCCATCCGTGGAGCCTGTGGAGGAAGCAGGGAGCGGTCAGGGCTCAGCGGGCAGCGCCCATGCATGCACACTGCTGCAGGCAAGAGGAGCACAGGACAACGTGGCTGCGAGCATCTGTGCGCTGCATGGCTGGGCAAGAGCCACCGAGGGAGCGAGGGATCCTACTCCTGCAAAGCCCTTTATGGGGACTGGAGTGACGGGGGACGCTGGGGTGGCAGCGCCTGCAGGGGACAAGGGACCTGGCATCCCAGGGGTGGGCTGCAGCCCAGGACTGCAGAGGCCAGGAGAAAGGGGCAGTGATGGCCCCATGCACCTCACCTGAACCGGCTTCTTCTTGCCCCCGTCATTGTTCTCGGCCTCCTCGTGCTCCCGGCTGCCCTGCGGCAGGTTGGTGTAGTTGGCCAGCCCGCTCAGCAGGGACGAGACCATCGGGCTGGTGTCCATCTCCTCCTGCAGAGAGCAGCGTCCTGAGAGGTGATGGCAGACCCGGGGTCCCACAGCACCCAGAGCCCCGCAGTGCTCTGCACGCCCGGTGCACCCCAGCAGTGGAGCTGTGATCCCCGTGGCACCCGCCCCCTCCCCCCCCCAGCTCCGGGCCACACGCTGCCCTGGGGCACGGTGCTGGTCACATCAGGCCAGCCATGCCGTGGGCAAGGTGTCTCCTGAGGGCTGGGCTGCATCACCCCCACCCCAGGACTCGGGGGCGCTGCCTGCCCTGCCGCAGGGGGACCCTTCCCAGGTGCTCTGCGGCAGTCGCGGTGCCCCACAGCCCCCTCCCCAGGTCCCATCCATCTGGTCCTGCCCTGGCTGCCCGCTTGCCCTACCTCGAAGAGGGCCATGTTCTTGCCATCGTATTCTTTGCCCTTCTCCAGGTCTGTGCTGTTGATGAAGGGACTGCTCTCCTTGGGATTGCCATCGCCTACAAAGACAGAACGTGGGGGTGAGCCTGTGGTGCCCGGTCCCAGCATGGCCCCCAGAGGAGGTGCTGGCCCCAGAGCTGCATGGCTCTGACCATCTGGGCTCACTGGAGCGCATCCACACAGTGCCAGCGCCGGGCAAAGCGACTGGTGTGGATCCAGCGGGAACCGGGCTGCCCGGCCCTCCTGCAGGACGGGCAATAACTCATCGGCCCCGCGCCCCGATACGCACCGCAGGAGCTGGGTGCCGTGGCTGCAAGGTGAGGAGGGGATGCAGCCGGTGGGGCCAGCACCGAGGGCAGCCCCTGCAGCTCTGCCTGGGGCAGGGGAGCCGCCTGGAGCCTGCAGAGCTGCTGCTCTGCCTGGAAGGGCTGCTGCTGCTCGCTGCATTAATGACCTCGCGCAGAAGACACCCAGAGTCAGGCTTAATAGCAAAGAAAGCAGCAGAGAGCTGCAGAGCAGCAGAAATAAATCAGGCTGGAAATAAAGCGGCAGCTAGCACGGATGCCGTTTGAGTGGCGCATTTCTGTGAGCTGAGGCAGAGCCACTGAACAGCGAAGGGAGAGGGGCTGGGGCTGCAGGGGCAGCGCACGGGGCAGCCGAGCCAGGAAACTGTCCCTGAGCCAAAGAAGCCAGCGCTCGGTGGAGCAGCCTGGTGTTACAGCACCCGCGGGGCTGCCTGCCCCGTACCGCGCCGTGGGGACAGGGTCACTGAGCTGCTCGGCGTGCCTGGGCCGGGGCAAGAGCTGTGCCCTCCGCCAGCATCGAACACAGAGCCCAGCAGCGCCTGGCAGCGGGGGGACAGAGCTCGGCGACGCAGACACCCACCAACGGCAGCCCCAGGACAGACCCGCACGTGTTTAGAGCAGAGCAGCCCTTTGAAGACCGTTTGCCTCCAGACAGTTGACTCATTTGGGGGATCTGTGGAGCTGGTTTCCCTGTGTGCGGTCGTGATTCATCACCTGCAACTGCTCCTGGCTGGCTGGGAGGCGAAGCCGCCGGCGCTGCAGGTGATGCCGACCCGTGTGCTCCCACTGGTCCCCGTGCTCCGGTGTGGAGCTGGGACAGGCAGGATGCCCATCGGCAGGGCTGGAGCCCACGGGGTCCTCCCACGGGTCCCTCCCGGCCCCACACCATAGAGGAGGGAGGGAAGCGGCCACGGGCGGCCCCTGCCCGGTGTCCATGCAGGAGGGGCTGCCAGCACGGGGCAGCGCGCTCCTTTCTGGGCCGGTTTTGCCAAAAGCACCGAGCGAGGAGCCCCTTACGTAACAGCCGCGTGCACAGGCGGCCGCCCAGCTCCCCGCTGCCAAAGCCCACGGGCTCCAGGGAGCAGACAGGAGAAAAGCGCCAGGCGAACAGGGGTGCTGCCGGGCCGGCCCTGGGGACCCCACCCCCAGGCGAGGGGCACGGAGGGCGCAGGGCCGGGGGCCGTCCGAGCCCCCCCACCCCACGCAGCCCCGAGCAGCCCCGCTCCCACAGCTGGGTCCGGGCGGCTGCAGGGGGGCAGCGGGGGGCAGCCGGGGTGGGGGTGGTCCGGGGTCCGGGCAGCCCAGGCAGGCCCCAGGACCCCCCCGGGAGCGCGGAGCCCACGGGCCCTGCCTGGCCGCCCGGTACCCAGCCGACGACATCACCGTGCTGGTTTCCATGGCAACAGCGAGCCACGGCCGCCTCGGCTCCCGCTCTTATGTAACGGCACAGCCGGACGGACACCGGCCCCACACGGCACCCCAACACCGCGCCCCACACCGTGCCCGGACCCTCAGCACCCCCCGAGCACAGTGACCGGGCCCCGCGGCCCCAAACCACCCCGGCCCCACGGGACCGACACCGACCAGCTCCACGTGACGGAGCCCAGCCACACCAGGGGGTGCCCAGGCCGCTGCCCTGCCCCGACCTGCCGGCACCACCACAGCACCCCAAAACCTCACTCACGCTCCCCCCGCACCGTGACCCCTGCCCTGGGATACCAGCGACACCAGAGCAGGGGCCTGAGCCCAGGCACTGGGGACCAGGCTCCTGACACCCCCGCACCCACTGCTGCTAGCACCCAGGGTCCCCTGGGGGGGCAATGCCCCATGGCCCCCACAGCCCAGAGCTGCCCCTGGCGGCACCGGAGGGACCGTGGCCCCATGCTGGCTCCAGCCGGGCTGCTGGGGCTGGCCCGGGGCACAGGAGCCCCTCGCCTGGCGGTGCCAGCGGGAGGACCAGCGCTGGGAGAGGCCCCGGGGCGGCGCGAGGTGGGGGCCTGGGGGCGCACACAGCACAGCTCCGGTGTCCCCAGGGCGCGGCTGTCCCCCCCGGCCCCGCAGACTAGAAGGAGTTAAGTGCCACAGCGGTGGGGTCCCAGGTGACGGATGCTCTCCCCGCTCCTGCTGGAGACCATTTTGCCGCAGAGGGGCTGGTGCAGCCGCTCCCCAGCAGCTGTCAGAGGATTTGTGGGCTGCGCACAGCCAGGCAGGGGCACTGCAGCCTGTCCCGGGCACGGCCCCCGTCCCTCACCGCCACCGCTGCGACCGGTCCTTGCCCATGGCGCTGAGGGGTAACGGCTCCCGGCCGCGGGCCGCCAGGTGACCCCGGTGCCCGTGGGCCTGCCGTGGCCCCATCGCCCCAGCACAGCCTGGGGACGAGCAGCAGCGGGCAGCAGCAGGGCCGGGCTGCGGGCTGGCGGCTCCAGCGGAGCAGAGCTGAGCCGTGCCAGGCTTCGATCCCGGCGTTGAGCCGCCCCCCTCCCCAGGGATCACTCAACATGAATCGGCCTTTTAATTTGCTGCGGCGGCTGGAAGGGCTCGCGGCTGGGTTGCTGGCAGGGAACCACAGCCCCAGCGTGGCTATCACGTAATCCTGCTCGCGGCAGGGGTTACCACTGGCCCTGCATGCCTGGGACATCCCAAACCCGGCCCCGCTGCCTGCAGGGGACCCTGCGGCCATGGCACCATCCCTGCGCACCCACGGCCATCCCATGGGGCAGCGCTCAGGCAGGGCTGGAGCCCCAACTGTAATTTATTTCATGGCTTTTTACTCAGCCCTAAATTGCGTTGGGAAGCATCGTGTCCCTTATCCCAAATCCTCCCTAATCGTTTTACATGGCGCAGTCACTGAGCGCTAACGGGGCGGGGGGAGCCCAGGCAGCCAAACCCCAGGGCTAATTAACCAGAGCTGCTGCCAGGACTGAAGCCAGCCTGTGCCCCCTGCGGCACCCTGCAAGGGCCAGCTGGGCTCCCTCACGGCCAGCGGGCACGGCGAGCCCTGCCCGGGGAGCTGTGGGTGCAGCCCCTGGCCGGGTGGGAGCAGAGGGCGAGGGGGTTGCTGCGGGGGCAGCCCTGGCCCCACGCTCCCTCCTGTGCCCAGGTTCCTGCTCCCGCCCCGGCTGGCTGCTGGCACCCCCAGCCCAGGCCTGGCCGCCGCCTCCTCCCGCACTGCCCCTCCGCAGGGCTGGGCACCGGCCAGGCACCGGGCGGCACTGCCAGGCCCTGCGCCGGGCTCCGCAGGAGGCACCCCCAGCCCAGTGCTCGGCACAGCTCCGGGAGGCTCCGGCCAGGTCCCAGCCCCAGCCGCAGGAGCAGGAGCCGGGAGGAGCGGGGCGGCGCCTGCCTGCTCTGCTCAAGGTGCCCATGCCGTGGGGCTGCCCCCCCCCAGGAGCACAGGGCACCTTGACTTTCGCCAGAGCGTTCGCGGGCGGGGGCTGGCAGCAGCCTCCTCCAGCTCCCTGGGACTCTGCCCAGGGCTGTCTGCAAGGAGCAGCCCCGGGGTCACTTCTGTGCTACCCTGCGGGCTGGCAAGCACATGGGCACGCACGTGTCCCGCAGCTGACGGCCCCAGCTGCTGCCATTCCGCAGAAGCTCCTGGCCGGGGGTGGCCACAGCACTGTTCTGTCACGCTCCGGCCACCCAGGGGACCCGGCCACATGCGCCCTGGTCCTGGCACCGGCCTGCAGGCCCAGGGGTGCCCCAAGGCAGGTGGGGAAGGCCAAGGGGCCCTGCCAGTGGCTGGCACCTCTGCACAGGGCTGCAGCCCGTTTGCTCCCCGGGGCTCTGTTCTCCCCCATGTGAGGGTATCTGCCGGTGGCACCAGCATGGGAGATCCCCCGAGAGGACAGGGACCCCCGTGTCCCCTGCCCGGTGGCAGTGCAGGCAGCTGGCACGGCACTGGCAGCGCACCCGGCGGCGCTGGGCCCAGCTGCAGCACGGCAGGGGGTGTGCAGCTCCCCCCGCCCCAGCTGCACGTCACCCTTCCAGCCGGCCAGCACGCCGAGCAGCCTTTCGGGCTGGATTCTTTCACTGCCTGACCCAAATTGGACCAACTGCTACTTCAGACCTATCCTCTTCCTTCCTAAACCTGGGATTATCCTCTCTTTGATCAGCCGGCCCTGCAGGCTCAGGATTTCCAGCACAGGCGCTTTGGCTGGCTGCATTTAAACAGCTTCCCAGATTCTCCTGAGCCCTGCCACGAATGGCCGTGGACTGAAGCTACAGCAAAGCTTCCCCACCCTGGGTCTCCTCTGCCCGGACAGCCGGGTGCCTGCAGAGCAGGGTGTGCCTTCCTCACCCGGAGCAGAGCAGTGCACGCAGCCGGCCCGGACACTGCAGGCAGCAGCCCTGCCCGCTGCCCTGCTCCCCATCCCCTCCCCAGGGTCTGCCGCTGTGGCCCCGCTCTCGCTGGGCTGCCAGCACTGGAGCCCTTCCAGCCCTTGTCATGAAGAGCTCGCTCAGGCTGTGCAGAGCAGGGACCTGCAGAGGGGCTGCTGCGTGGCCTTCTTCTCAGAAAGGGCACAAGTGGGGACCCAGGGCTCCTTCAGCAGCTCCTCTGCTGGTCTCAGCGACTCACTGGCGGGTCAGCAGCTGCTGCAGGGCCCGCGAGAGTGGGGGTGTCCCTGCTGGCCAGGCATCAGCTCTGCCACCCCCCCGCTAGGGTGTCCACCATCCTCACCAGACAGACCCTGAGCATGGAGCTCTGTGGAAGGGTGCAGGAGAGTCACGGCCCCCCATAGCAGCCACAGGGTATCCTCCACCCCTGCCATCCCCAGCACAGGTGCATGGGGGGGGCCCTGCAGTGCCTCTCCCCTGCACCCTCCTCTGCTCCCCAGCCCCATGGAGCCTCCTCCAGCCCTGCATCTGCAGCCCCACAAGCGGCAGCTCGCCAGGCCCAGCTCCAGGGACAGTCTGCACGATCCATCTGTAGTGGCACTGTGTCCAGCCTCCCTGCCAGACCCCAGGAACGCAGCCTGCGAGCAGCACGGCAGGAATGCCTGCCTCTACGCAGCCCAGCATTGCTACGATGGAGACGTAATGGGCGGCATAGATCCTGGTGCTGCAAAGAGCAAAGAGGGTTGGGGCCGGGGAAGGGTTTGGTGGTGGGTCAGCGTGGCTCCCCCCACCTGGGCAAGGTGACCCCCAAAGGCTCCTGCCAGCCCTGACCTTGAGTGGAGCCATGAATAAACAAGCAACTACACAGAGTCAGGCCGTGGGGCAGAACGCAAGCCAAAAGCGTCGTGCATTGCTCTGCCCAGAGCCCGCTGCAGGCAGCCGGGGGCTTGCACCTCAGGCTCCCGACCTGGCTGCCCCCCGCAGCCCTCCTGGCCGCGGCTTTCCACGGACCCCGAGGGGACCCGGGGGGGTGGCAGCGGGGGTCAGGGAGGCACCGCAGGGCCCCCGCGCTCGTCGCTGCATTCGCCCGGGTGCAGCCGGCTCCTGCGCCTGGCACAGACCCCGCAGAGGAGGCTGCGGCACCGCTCCTGCTGCCGGGGCGCCGGGGGTCGGACACGACCCCACGGGGCCGGGGACCCCCCTCCCTGCGGCTCGGCCTCGGCGGGGGCCGGGGGGCTCCGGGGCCAAAGCGCGGCGGTGGCGCAGCGAACGCCGGGGCCCGGCGGCCCCGGGGGGCTGCGGCCCCGGCCCCTCTCCCGCGGCGGCCCTGCCCGCCTGCACTGCGCCGGGGCTGCGGCGGGGCTCGGCCGGGCCGGGCAGCCCCGCACCGAGCTTCAGCACCGCGGACAGCGGCGGGGCCACGCGCGGCACCGGGGGCTGCGGGCGAGGGGGGGGGGGCACCGGGGCCGGGGGCGGCGGGGCCGGGGGCGGCGGGAGGGAGGGCTGGGGGGCGGCAGCCGGAGCGGGGGGGCGGCTGGGGGTGGGCAGGGGTGGGGGGCGGCAGCGGGAGCGGGGGACGGGGAGGGAGGGCTGGGGGCGGCAGCGGGGAGGGCTGGGGGCGGCAGCCGGAGCGGGGCCGTCGCAGGGGTCCCGAGCGGACCGGGGCAGCGCCGCCGGGGGCCGCCCGGGAGGGGGCAGCGGCCCCGGCCCCGGGAGGAGGCTCCGCGGCGAGCCCGGTCCGGCGCCGCCGCTCCCCGGGACTGCGGCAGCGGCGGGCGCGGGGCCGGGCGGCGGCGGGCGGCGGGGGCGGCTCAGAGCGGGGGCGACGCCGCGGGGAGCCACAGCCGCGATCGGCAGCGGGAGCCGGGGCGGGAGCGCCCGCAGCGCCCGCAGCCCCGCGGGGCCCCCGCCGACGGGCAGGCGTCGTGGGACCCCCGACCAACAGCCACCGGCGCGGCCGGCGCCCCCTCCCCGAGCCCCCCGGTCCCGAGCAGCGCCCGGCTCTCCCCGCGCCCCCGCCGCTGCGGCTCCGCCGACCCCCGCGGCTCCCGGTGCGGCCGCCCCAGCCCCGCTCTCGGCCGCTGCCGCCGGCCCCCGGGCCGCCCCTTACCTTGACTTGCCCCCCCGTCGCCGTCCTCGCAGTCCGTCAGGTTATTGAGCATGGCGCCGCTGCCCGCTGCCTCGCTGGGGGCTGCTCCGGTCCTGCCGCGGGGGCTGCGGGGGATTCGCTTCCTCCCCGGGGCCGGCGCCTGGCGCTGCAACAAGCCGCCTTCCCTGCGCGCCTTTCTCTTTCTCTCTGGCTGGATGTAGGAGGAGGCTGCAGTGCAGAGCTGCCTCAATGCACAGACTCACACGCTCACTCACTCCCAGCAGCAGCGGCGGAGCCCAGCCTGACTACTCACTTCATCATGTATTCAGGAGGCATTATCCCCTGTCGGGTTTTTGGGGAGGGGAGCGGTGGCAGGCAGAGGCGAGGGAGGGGGAAGGAGCTGTAGCAGAGCCACCTCCCCGGGCAGCGCTCTGCCTGGCTCAGCCAGGGCTGGGGGAGGAACCAGGGCACGCGGGGGCTGCGGGTCCCCCCCCAGCTGGCGCAGCAGGACGGCCACCGCGCCCCTCCCTCGGCACGGGGGGGCTGCCCGGGGCCCCAGCACCCCAGTGCCGATGGGGTCTGAGCTGGGACACCGAGAGCCGCGGTCAGGGCGATCCTGGCCCCAGGCAGCCCCCAGCCGGGGGGCTCCAGCAGGGTCCCGGGATGCCAGCACGGGGCTGAGCCCTCCCGGCCCTGCAGCACGAGTGGCCCGCAGCGACCCCCCGCACCCACAGCCGTGCCAGTGTCCGGGGAAGGGGGGTGGACGGCCAGGCCACGGCAGGAGCAGGGCTGGGGGCTGGCCGGGGCTGCAGCAGTGCTGCAGAGCGGGGAAAGCTGACCCTGAGGGACGCAGGCTGGGAGCGAGCCCACCTGGGGAGGGCAGCGGGGAGTGATTCCTGATGCCAGGAATGCTCTGGCACAGACCTGCACACAGCCCCCTCCCTCAGGCCCTCAGTGCCACAGACACGGGGCAGGGTGACGGGGCTCAGCACAGCTTCAGGCTGGAGACAGGGACGCTGCTCTGACCCCGCAGATCAGCTCACAGCCCCCCCTCCTTTCACCCATTTAATCCAGGAGGATCTCAGAGCCGGAGCTGGCTGCAGCTCCCGGCATCTCCTCGGGAGCGGGCTGAGATCATGACAGCCCGCTGGCGTTAGTTACTTCTTGACGGCTGTAATTAATTGTTTACTTTTTCCTGGTACGGGGCCAGCTGCTCTGCAGCGCGGATGCTCCCAGGCCTCACCTTGCAGGGGTTGGCTCCGTGGCCCTTCCCCAGCCCTGCCGGCTGCCCCCAGCCCCTGCCACGCCGCCGAGGCCGGGACCCCAGGGCCAGCGTCCCCAAGGATCCGGGGGCTCCAGCAGCGCTGCACCCCCAGCACACCGGCCCAGCAGGATGCACCCGAGCTCTGTGCACGCCAGCACAGCCCCAGGGCTCCCCGCAGCCCAGGAGCACCTGATGGGGAGGGAAGCGGCTGCCCAGCCCCGGCCCTGCCACCTGTGGTGTTCTGCCGGGACCCCGCAGCGCAGGGCCGTGCCTGCCCAGCCGCCGCAGCGCTGCCTTCACCGCCGTGTCCCTTGGCCTGAGCGGGAGCCAGCACTGGGCTGGGCTGGGCTGGGCTGCGCCCAGGGATGGGGCAGCCCTGGGGCCGGCAGGACGCAGTGTGCAGAGCCCCAGTGCAAGGCTTGGGGGCTGCACGAGGCCAGCCCCCAGGGCAGGTGCCGAGCACCGAGGTGGCCGTTTGGCGCAGGAGGCCGCAGTGCGTGGGCTCAGCACAAGAGGGATTTTCCTGCTAAAGCAGATGGGGGGGGGGGGAAGCAAGCACGTGAAAGACCACTAATCTCCTAATCCCTGGATTATGGCTCCATTTCAGGGGCTGGGATTTGCCAGCAGTGCGGGGGCTACAGCGTCAGCTGCGCTCGCTCAGCCCGTGCGCAGGGTCCCACGGCACAGGGCAGGGTGGTCGCACGGGGCCTGTGGTCGCACGGCGTGTGCCAGGGGCTTGGGACCGACCACAGCACGGCCCCAGCCTACCCCTGCCAGACCCACGGCAGCCCCCTTGGCCGCAGCCCCCACGCTGTGTGCTCCAACAAGCCTTGGCATGGCCCAAGCACTGCCGGGCACTGGGACTGGGGCCGGCAGCAGGGCCGGGGCAGCACAAGGGCACGGGCAGGGGGCCGGGGCCGGAGGGCGCCAGGTGGCTCTGTGCGGGCACAGGGCCCGCCATCAGCTGCAAGTGGCCCCCGCGCCCGGGCACACGCAGGCGCCTGGCACGGGGCCAGGCATGGCATCAGTGCCCCACTTACAGCAAGCTGCCGGGGGAGGCACGGGGAGGAATGAGCCGTGACATGGCCACGGGGCCGGGCCGTGGGTTGGCACAGAGCAGCCGCCCCGTGCCCCTCCTGTGCCCCTGCAGCCACCTCGCACCGAGCCCGGGCTGAGCAAGGGCCCGGAGCTGGCACAGCCACAGCCAGGCCCCATGGCACAGCCACCCCATGTCCCCGGCAGCGCCCTCCCAGCCCCGCTGCACCCAAGCGGGACGGGGCGCCCCATGGCTCTGCTCTGCCCCATGGCTGCGCGTTGGGGCACTGGGGGGGTGCCGTGGGGCAGGGGGGGGCCCAGCCCCTCCCGGTGCCGGCTCTGCTGCCCTAGGAGCGGGGACGCACGGGGCTGGGGGGGCTGCCGGGGGGGCCGGGTCCTGCCCTGCTGCACCCCCGGCACCCGCCCTGGGGTCCCCAGCAGAGGGGTCCCCACGGCCGGGAGGCCACAGGGACCGGCGGGGCCGCCCCACGCCCTGCCCGGGGGGCCCGGGGCATGGCTCCCCCCCCCCCCCCCAGCATCGGGAGCGAGCGGCGATGGCACCGGGGCCGGTTTCCATGGCAACGAGAGAGGCTCCTCCACCGGCGGGTTGCCATGGCGACTGCCACGGAGCGCGGCTGCCTCGGGACACGGCCGGCCCGGGGGGGGGGGCATCGCTCCGGGGCTGCCCCGCTGCGGCCCCGGCCCCCCCCCCGCGCCCCCCGGCCCCGCGCTGCCGCCCCACGGCCCGCACGGCGGGGGCAGCCCCGGGGCCAGCGGCAGGGGAAGGGGCCCGGTCCCGTGGCCGACCCCCGGGGGCGCCTTCCTCACGGGCGGCCCCAACGCGAGGGTCCCGGTCCCGGTCCCGGTCCCGGTCCCGGCCGCCCCCGGCCCGCTCCCCGCGGCCGAGGGGGGAGCGGGTCCCCGGGAGCCCCCCCCCAGCCCTCCGCATCCCGGGGTTGCCACGGCAACCGGGCGGGCGGGGGAGGCGGCCCCCGGCCGCGCTCGGGGCTATTTCGGGAACGGCGGCGGGGCGGGGCCGGGGCGGGGCCGGGGCGGGGCCGGGAGGGGCGGGGCTGAGCGGTTTGTCCCCCCCCCCCGCCCCGCCCCGCCCCGCCGGTCCGGGCCGGCAGCGGCCCCTGGCGGAGAGCACCGCGCCGGGAGACCCCCCCCGCCCCGCACCGCCCCCGGCCCCGGCCCCGCACCGCCCCCCCGACACCCCCCGAGACCCCCCGGCCCCCACCGCGACCCCCCGGCCCCCCCGGCCTCCCCCGGCCTCCCTCCCGCTGCCGACGCCGGCCGCAGCCGCACGCCCCGGCCCCGGCCCCGGCCCCCAGGAGCGACCCGCGCCCGGCCTCGCCCCCGGTCCCGGTGCCCCCCGGCGGTAGCGGGGTCCCGGCCCCCCCCCGGGCAGCACCGGGGCCGCCGCCCCCACGGCAGGGAGCAAAGCGCCCGCCCCCGGCCGCCCCGTCGGGGCTCCCCCAGCACAAGGGGGCGGCCGGAGCGGGGCGGCCCCGCACAGCCCCCCCCGGGCTGCCTCCGCTGCCGCCACGCAGCCACCCCCAGCCACCGGCACAGACCCCCGGCCGAGGTCTCCAGGCCGTGCCACGCCGGCTCCTCTGGTGCCAGGAGGGGCCCGGCGGTGCCCAAGGACCTGCCCAGGCCATTCCCAGCCCCGCTCCGGGTGACGGCACCGCCGGACACAGCCCCACGCGGTGCCCCGGCCCCCCCTGCCCACCCGTCCCCTGCCGGGGAGGGGGCTGCAGGGCCGGTCCTGGGCGGCTGCCGGCAGCACCAGGCCGCTCGGTGTCCTCTGCGAGGGCGCAAGGTCACAGCCCAGCCAGGAGGCAAGGGAGGCCCTGGGGGGGTCACCGGTCCCGCACGCCCCCGCTGTGCCCCTGCGCATCCCCACCCCGAGCTCACCGCTCTGCCCACCCTGCCCCCGGGGGGGGGCAGCTGCCAGCCAGCAGCTCCTGGCCACGGCTCCAGCTCGGCACCGGCAGCTCTGCTCCTGCAGCCAGGCCCGTCCGCCCCGGGAGGCTGCGGGACACAAATTGGCCCCGCGCGGGGTCTGCCGCTGGGACACAGGGCCAGGGGATGGAGCCCACCGTGGGGCACCACCCGGCTGGGGCATCCCAGTGCCTGCCCGTCCACTCGCTGCACCCGCCGGTGCCCTTTGTCAAGGCCGCAAGGTCACAGCCCCGCGCTGCCCTCGGTCAGGTTTCTGGGATCGATGCGGCTCTGGTGACAGCTCCGGGGATGGCGCAGCCCACGCCGTGTCCCTCGGGCACGGGGAGGCGGCAGCCAGGCTGGCCACAGCGCCAGCGCCCACCCCGCAGCCCGGGCATTGGGGTGCTCACAACCAGCCCGAGCCCCGCGCCCCTTCCCCCTGAGCCAGCCGGGGCTCCCCGTGGTCGGGCCGCCTGTGCCCCCAGCCCCAGCAGCGTCTGCCCCCCCGAGCTGCCCATGGCCCTGGCCCCATCCCGCCGCATGCCCTGGCGCTGCCCGGACCTCACGCCCGAAGCGGCCCCACGGATCCCCCCGCACGAGGATGGAGCCGGGGAGACCCCTGGGGGAGAGGCCGGAGGAGAGGGGTCCCGCCCCGGTTACCGAGCTGCGCTCCGAGCCCCGGACCCCGCCGCCCCCGGCCCCGCGGCCCCGCTCCGAGCCCCGGCTGCCCCCCGGGGCCCGGCCGCGCTGCCTCTGTGCCCGGGGCTCTGCTCGCGGTGCCCCGACGGCCCCTGCCCCGCGGCCCCTGCCCACGGCCCCCGCTCCGCGCGCGGCCCCCACTCCTCCGGCTCTGCCCCACCGACCCCTCCCCACCGGCCCCTCCCCGCCAGACCCTGCCCACGGACCCTGCCCACGGACCCTCCCCACGCACCCCCTCCCCACGGGCCGCGCCGTCGCCGCTCTCACCTTTCCCTTTGCCGTCGCGGCCGGGCCGGCGGCCGCCCCCCGCCCCCCGTGCCGAGCCCCGGGCCGCCGCCGGGCCCTGGGGGGGCAGCGCGGTGACGGTGAAGCGCCGGCTCATGGCCCCGCCGCCACAAGTGGCTCCGGGCTCCGGCTGCCGCGGGAGCGCGGCCGCCGCCGGGCGCTGACCGGGGTCCTAGTGCCCGCGGCACCGCCCGCAGCACCGCCCCGCCCGGCTCGGCTCGGCTCGGCTCGACGGGACGGGCTGGGGCCGCCCCCGCCACGCCTGGCCCCGCGCTGCCCCGCAGCCGCCGCCGCACGGGGGTGCTGGGGACGGGTCGGGACGGGAGGGACGGGACGGGACGGGACGGGGGCTGCGCTCCGCCGGGTTTTGCCCGCCGCCCTGCTCGCCGCGGCCGCTAATTATAGCCGTGGTGCTGCGGCCGCCCCGCCCGGGCACGGCCCCGAGCAGCCCCCGCGCCGCCGGGCTCCGAGGGCCGGGCCGGGGCCGTGACCCAGCGCCCCGGAGGAGCGGGGGCGGCGGGAGGCCGGGGCGGAGGCGCAGCCTCCCCGGGAGCCCCCCTCCGGCGGGCAGCCCCCCCCTGCCCCGCACCCCGGGGTTCGCGGCGCCGCCGGCAGACAGAGGCTGAGAGGCCGTGTCCGAAGGACCCTTTAATAAAGGTCTTTATTAAAAACGCGCGGGTGGCGGCCGGCAGAGCCGGCAGCGGGACAGAGCCCCACGGACCCCACCGAGCCCCCCGGCCCCCCCCGGCCCGGCCTTGCTGGCTCAGGCGAAGACAAAGTCACTGCGAGTCCGGGGGCGCCGGGCACGGCTGCGGCGGGTCCCGCTCCCCAGCTGGGTCCCCGCGGGGCCCGGGAGCGCTTCCCCCGTCCCGTCGAGGAGGCTGCGAGCCCTATGGCACGGCCGGGGCAGCCCCACGGCCGCTCCCCGGCACTCCCGGGCCGCAGGGGTCCGGGCTGGGCGAGCCGGGGCCCGGGGACTGGGGGCGTTGGGCAGGGAGCACGGCGCCCGGAGCGGCCGCTCTGGCCCCTAGTGCTGGGGGCACTGCAGGAGGTCGTACTTGACGTAGCCCACGCGGTCCACCTGGTAGCGCGGAGTCATCCTCCAGTAGAAGCTGCCCTGGCAGAAGTGGTACTTGTCTGGGCGAGGAGGAAGGCAGAGGCGGTGGGTTAGTGGGAAGGCAGCCGGGGCGAGGACACGTCCCGAGTGGCACAGGGCACACCGGGACCCGGCCCCTGGCCAAGGGGCCTCACTGCAGGGACCCCAGGCGCTCCCCACAGCCACGAGGTGCCCTGGGGCCAGCACTCAGGCTGATGCAGCCCCTGCCCGGCACCCAGGCGAGGAGGAGGGGGAGCCCAGCCTGTGGGAGGCTCTGGGCAGCACAGGGGGTGGCAGCACGGCCCCCCCATCCCGACGGGTCTCTGCTCACCTTGGTACAGGAAGACATTGCGCGCATCAAGGGGGACGCCGGTGAAGAAATCGTCAGTGGCACGGGGGTAACCCTTATCCACCCTCTGGATCTTCACATCCAGCCTGCGGGGAGAGCAAAGCCACAGCGAGGGCTGCGGTGAGCCGCCCACACCAGCTGCCGCAGGGAACTGGTGGCACCGGTGGGAGCCACTCACCGCCAGTAGTGCTCCCCGCTGAACAGCAGCACTTTGCCACGTCCCCGCTGCAGGGCCCCCGAGATGCGGCTGGCTTCCTTCCCGATGCCCAGCTTCTCGATCCCGCGGGGGCCCAGCATGCTCTTGCCAGAAAACACCCAGAACTGCCGACCTGTGGCAGGGAGCAGGGGCGTCAGTCAGCCCCGGCGCGCCCGGGCAGCACCTCGTGAGGCTCGCGGCAGCAGGACCGAGGCAGGGGCAGCGCTCACCAGAAAAGAAGAAAACCCTCTTGGTGAGCACGTCCTGGAACGCGGCGTCAATGACAGCCGGGAGGCCAGGCCAGGTGTCTGCAGTGGAGAAGGCGCCCTGGATGCCCGATTTCCAGAAGGACGAGCGGGTCCAGTATTTCCTGGTGGGGAAAGCCGGCTGCCCTGATAACCCCGACGAGGCAAAGCCCTCTATGCCCCCAGCCCCTGGCAGAAATGCCCCCATCACCCTGGCATTTGCCCTGGGGGGAGCCGGGCTCTGCTGCTCACCCGTCCTTGAAGAAATGCAGCTCCCCGTTGATCTCTGTGATGGCATCGAAGTTCTTCTCCATGCAGGCATCCCGGCTGGGGTCCACAGGGCTGGGCTCGGCTGTGGGCTCCAGCGTCTCCTCCTCCTCCGTGGTGGAGGCACTGCCAGCCTCGGTGGGCAGGGGCTGCGGCTCCTCGGTGGGCAGAGGCTCTGGGGGGGTGGGCTCGGGGCCAGAGCCACGACCTGGAGGAGCAGGGGACGGTGTGAGGGTGCGGGGACCCATCTGCTGCAGGACCCCATCCCCAGCAGCACGTCCCCAGGGCTGCCCGCAGTGTGCTGGCTGTGCAGGGTCGCTCACCATAGAGGTACTGGATGCCCTGCACATCGTCGGGGTGCAGCTGGAAGTCCTGCACGTAGCTGTACATGGGGTACATCAGCGCCTCACGCACGCTGGAGTGGTCCATTCCCAGTGAGTGCCCAAACTCGTGGGCAGCCACCAGGAAGATGCTGTAACCTGAGGGGAAGCACCGGGCTCAGTACCCAGAGGGACACCTGTGGCCACCAGCCCCCTTGGCCACCAGCAGGCACGGTGTGGGGCCGAGCAGTGCGCAGGAGGGCACGGGCAGGGGGCCGGTACCTCTGTCCGGGCAGAAGCCCCACTTCTTGTCAGTGTCGTAGTTGCTGGTGGTGGCACACCAGAGCTTCCCGTCCTGCCGGCCCTGGCTGGTGCAGGAGCTGTAGGACTGCCCCAGGAAGGTGAAGGGGAAGACGCAGGGGTCCCCTTGGGAGTTGCCGCCGATCACCGCTGTGTCTGCAACGCAGCGTCAGAGGGGCTGACCCCGGCCCCTCAGGTGCCCGCCCCGCAACACAGCTGGGGCCCGGCCAGCCCTACAGGCCCCCTGTGCCCCTACCCCGCACGCACCTCGGTTGGGGCAGAAGCCGTATTTCTTGTCCTGGTCGAAGTTGGCGGTGGTCGCGCACCAGCGGTAGCCATCGGAGCGCCCGTCCGTGGTGCAGGTGTCGTAGGAGGTGCCGTCGAAGATGAAGGGGAAGACGCAGGGGGCCCCGTCGCTGTTGCCACCGTTGGTGTAGAGCACTGAGGGGTGAGCAGGGGTGAGCCTGGCCCCGGGCCCCGCGGGGCCGTGCAGGGGCTGCCGGCCACCACTACTCACATTCACTGGGGCAGAAGCCGTAGGTCTTGTCGGCATCGTAGCTGGCGGTGGTGGCACACCAGGGCATCCCGTCCGTGCGCCCCTCCGTGATGCACCGGGAATAAGAGCGGCCCTCGAACACGAAGGGGAAGTGGCAGCTGGCCCCGTTGGCGTTCCCGTAGCGAGTCTTCACCACTGCCCGGGAGAGGAGGCGCTCAGCGGGACGGGGCTGGGGCACGTCGGGCACCTCCGAGCCCCTTCAGAGCCAGCAGACCCTGCCCTTACCTAAGCCAGTTCCCAGCGTCCAGAACTCGTCGTCATCGAAGTGGGCATCGCCCTGGATGCCGCTGCCTGGAGGAAAGGCGTGGGCCAGGAGCCCGTCCTTGCCGTCGAAGGGGTACCCATCGCCGTGCTCTGCAGGGACGAGCGCCGTCAGAGCCAGCCCCCCTGTCATGCCTGCTGGCAGCCCCCCTGCTGCCCCCCGCACACACAGAGCTCTGCAGAGCCCTGCGGGTGCCTGGTGGCAGGGGCAGGGCTGGGGGAGCCCCACAGGCACAGCCGCACGCAGGCACCGAGGGAGGACGCGGCCGACGCGCAGGGCACGGCTCCCTCTGGCCCTTCCCCAGGCTGTGCCTGCTCCCCACCACCCTCAGCAGCCGCGGGACGTCACCTTGGCTGCCGAACATGATCATGATGTCTGCCTCGCCGCTGTAGATCTGGGTGAAGGTGAGGGGGGTCACGTCACTCCACACCTTGAAAGCTCGCTTGAAGGCGTCGTCTATCACAGCACGGTCCAGGTCGGGGGAGTAATTCATCACCCTGCGGGGAAGGCTGCGGCTCAGCACCGCGGGGTGCCGGGCGCTGTGGCAGGAGGGGCCCTGCCCCGGGCACACGGCAGGGACGTGCCCCGGCCCCACGGGGGAGAGCAGCACCGCGCAGCCAGGCAGGGCAGCTGGCTGCAGCCCTGGGGCCGGGCTCAGAGGCTCTCCTGGGCATCGGGGAGCAGATGCTGCCGGCTGTGCCGTGCCAAGCCCCAGCTGGCTGGCAGCAGGGGAAGGGCCCTTGCGCCTGTCTCCATCCCCTGCGTGTCCGTTGCCCCGTGGCCATGTGGCTCCCATCTCCCGGAGCAGAGACTCACCGGTACGTGAGGTCCATGTGATCCCATTTGAGGTCCCCCTCAAAGGTGAGGAAGCCCCCCACGTCGGGGACCCCACAGCGAGGGGCTCGCATGGCCTCCAGGGTGCTGCTGTCCAGCTCCCCCGTCTCCTCCAGCCCCAGCTGCTTCTGCATCTTGCGCAGCGCTTTGGCCAGGGACACCTGCTTGCTGCTCCTCCTCACCTCCTGCTCCGTGGTGTAGCCAAACCGCAGCAGGTAGCTCTGGGGAAAAAAGGGGCCGAGGGGCTCAGCGAGGCGGAGGGGCTCCGGGGCAGCTCCCAGCATTGCACACCCTCCTGGGGTGCCCAGACCTGAGCCCCTGCATCCCCCGGGGCCCAGGGAGGGGACAGCCTCCGAGCTCAGCTCACGGCTCCGTGCTGCGGCCCCGGCAGCATCCCCGGCACTGGGGTGGTGGGAGGGGGCCGCGGGGGCTGCCCTGCCCTCACCTCCGCCAGCTCCACGTCCGACAGGGAGCTGAGCAGCTCCCCCGGGAAGGTGACGACAGCCTGCGGCTTGGGCTGCAGCGGGGCTGCGCGGCAGGAGAGGGCCAGCAGCGCCAGGGCGAGCGGGGCCAGGAGGACGAGCCCCATGGTGCGGCAGTGGCAGGAGGGCTGAGGCTGTGCCGGGTGCTGCTGCCGTGTGCTGGGAGCCGCCGGGCTCCCGCTCCTATTTATGCTGCGGCGAGGGCAGTGAGTCACCCTCAGACCCTCAGCCCCAAGGACTCATTCTCCCTTCCCACGGTGACGAAACGCACACTCAGGCTCCTCCGTTTGCTGCTTTAACCGTTTCATCACCTTGTTTACCAAACACGCCGGTTCCGGCAACCACGCAGGGCGCAAGGATGGGCGCGAGGCCGGGCAGCTGGGTGGCTGAGCCGGGGTATGGCTTGGTCCAGCTGCCCGGAGGATGGCCTGCAGAGGGGTGTCCAGCTGCAAAGGGCAGTGCCCTGGGTCCCCAAGGCTGTGGTCAGAGCTGGGACAGCAGGAGTTTGCAGACTGGGTGCTGGCTGGGTGCTGGGGACCCCACAGACACGTTGCTGCACCGGCCAGTGCTGAGCTCAGCCAGCCAAGTGCTGATGGTGCCAGAGCCAGACCCATGGGGTCAGAGCCAGCAGGAAAACCCTGCCCAGAGCCCCAGTGCCTGCAGCCCACCTGCCCATGAGCCTGATCCCCACCAGGAGCCACAGGGTGCCCAGGGACTGCAGCCCCTCAGCGGGACGCAGCCCCTGTCCCCACACACCCCACCATGGCCGTGTCTCCCCAGCGCAGCCCCGGGATGGCTCCCCGTGGTTCTTCACCCCACAGGTGCTTCAGACCCCCCTCACCAGCAGGCACCTGGCACAGCCCCACGGGAGGGGACACAGGGGACAGCCCAGCACAGGGCTCGTGCCCAGCCTGCTCTGTGCTGCACCTGGTGCCCGCATGGACCCGCCGCGTCCCCCGGGCACTGCTCCGCCGGGCGCCGCTGACTCAGGTTCCCAGCCGGCGCCTGCGAGGCAGCACAAACCTCGCCGCCGGACAGTGTTTTCCTGCTTCTCCCAAAGTGCCGACGCTTGTGGGAACGGGAGTGGGGAAGGGGAAAGCAAACAGGGACAAGGAGTGAGAGGAAAACAGATGGCAGAGCGGAGACAAAGGCGCAGCGTCAGCTGGGGAGACGGGCGGCTCGGTGCAGCCCGGTGACACTGCCCAGGGCACAGACGGGATCCCCCCGGATCTCACGGCCCCGGGCTGCCCCGTTGGGCTGGCTGTGGGAGGACAGCCCCATCCCTGCTCGTGCCCTGCAATCCCTGCTCCTGAGCACCCCTGGGATGCAGCCAAACAGCTGCCCACTCCCCTCTGCATGGTACCAAGCCTGGCTCAGCTGGACAAAGCACTCCTGGCCTGGCCAGAGGGCAGCGAGTGATGCTGGAGCTCAGCAAGGCTGGGGATGGAGGGAGCAGAGTGGCGGCTGCCCTCCTGCAGCAGAGCAGCCCCAGGGCCCAAGAGGGGCTTGCCCCAAGGAGCATCACCCATGGGATGGATGGAGGGGGCCCCGTGCACCTGCTGCCCAGCCCAGGGGTCCCGCAGCCCATTTACAACCCAGCTGCGTGCAGCCGAGCTGCGGGGGCTCAGCACTGCTGGAACCTTGGAAGCATTGGGGGCTCCCCGGGCACAGCCGAGCACCAGGCACGGGGGGAACGGCCGTCCCCATCCTGCGGAAGTGGTGCTGAGAAACCGCCAGGTTGCCTCACTCCATCCTGCAGCCCTGCAACAGCAACGCCCAGTGACAGGGCGAGGAAGTTGCTCCACAGGGCAGCCCCCTGCCGCATCCCGGTGTGACACACGCTCAGCCACAGCCCCCCTGCTGCAGCCCCCCCCTGGCACAGGCAGCCAGGGGCCCTGCAGCCAGGTGCCTGTGGGGTCCGTCCCGCCGCCCCTCGCCCTGCTCTGTGGGGTCCCGCTCCCCCCGGCCAGGCAGGCACCGCTCCGTGCCCTCCCCTCTCCTGGGCTGCCGGGCTCAGCACCCAGCTCCCTGCCTGGGGGAGGCATCCCGGGACAGAGCAGACAGGGGCACGCCGACACGGACGCCCTGGTGCAGCTGCAGGGATCCCAGCCTGGTCCCCTGGGGCCGTGGCAGATCCCCGGGCCTTTCCCAGGTTATTCCCATCCCGTGTTTCTGCCACACGCAGGAGCCGCAGCTCTCCCAGCCCGGGCGCAGTGCCATGGCACCGCCGGCACGGCCCCTGGGCAGGCTGAGCCACGCCGTGGCTGTCGGAGCAGGGCAGCGCCGGCTCAGGGCAGAGCAGGGGCACGGAGCAGGCGATGGCAGGAGGGGGCAGGAGGGGCCCGGGTCCAGGCTCGGGGCACCGAGCAGCCTGGCCTGACCCAGAGATCCAGGGGGTGCCCCGGGGTGGCACTGGGCATCCTTGGGCTGGGGGCTGCGGGTGGGCAGCCGCAGCTCTGCCCCTGCCCTGGCCGCTCCCACTGACTCACGGCCCCGATACCAGCTCCTTCCTGGGGATTTTCTGGTGACTCTCTGGAGCTCTGTGGGGAGAAGAGGAAGGAAAACCCCCGTGTCTTGGAGCACCAGGAGCCCAGGAGCTGTGCAGGGGAACTCCACAGGGCCATGCACGGCCCTGCAGACAGCCCTGAGCCTGTGCGGGGCGGCTCGGGGAGCTGGGGCAGGTGGCACAGGGCCTGCACGGGCACACGCAGAGGGACGCTGGGGCAGGCTGGGGCCACCACCACTGCTGATGGGCAAGGAGGAGGAGGTGGTGGTGAGCCCAGTCAGCGCAGCAGGGGGCTGGGGGGATGCTGGTGGGAAAGGATCTGTCTGCCAAGGGACCCCGGGAGCACCCAGGAAGCGTGTCCGGCCCATGGCGTGGCAGTGGCACCCTCCACGCCCAGAGCCCTCGTAAGGACGGGCGACACGGAAAACCCCGAGCAGCTGCCCCCTGCCCCAGCCGGCTGCCCGAGCCACGAGGCTGTCTGTCACCACCGCCGCCATCAAAAGGGGAAGGAAGAGGAAGCCGCAGCCCCTCCGCATGCCCTTACTCATGGACACCCCCTACCCCAGGCGGGTGCCACACGGAGACCCCTGCCCGGCCCGGGAGGGGCAGTGACGGGGATGGGGCAGCAAGGGCCAGGTCCTGCGTGTCGGCGGCGTCAGACTCGCTCCTGGCACGTGGGCAGCGGGGCAGGAGCACGGCCGAGCGGCGCGACAGCGAGGGGAACTGGCACAGGAGGAGTCAGAGGAGTCAGCATCTTGTGACCGCGCCGGGCCGGGGGGAGCACCGCGGCTCGCACCGTCCCGGCCAGCGGCAGCGCTGCGTGCAGGGCAGCTGCCGGGCACGGCGCTTGGCGCGAGAGCGAGGGCACACGGAGCAGCTCTGCGTCAGCAGCTGGAAGCCCCGCTGCCCCTCATTCGGCATCTCCAGACAGAAACAACATTCCTGCACACGCTTCCCGGATCTGCTGTCCGACGCCAGCCCCGCGTGGGCTGCAGCACATCCTCCAGCTGGGCCCAGGACCCTTCCTGCAAACCGTGCTGGGGCTGCCCTGTGTTCCCCCCCCGGCTCCCCGGGCACAGGTGCATCTGCAGCCTGCACACCCCCGCTGCTCCATGGGTGCCCCTGCCCAGGTCACAGCAGGGCCCCCTCCCACCCGTCCCTCCTCTCGCCCGGGGAGCTCCCACCCCAGCACTGGCCTCCGGTGAATTCTTTGCCCTTTGGCCTGGGCAGGAGCCGTGCCCCCCCCCAAGCTCTGTCCCCAGGGCATGGGGCGGCTGCTCCCGGTGCTGCTCCCGGTGCTGCTCCCGGTGCTGCTCCTGGTGCCGCGCGGTGCCGGGGTGACGCAGGCTGCGTCAGGTGGCGGCTCGCTGCCACCCTGGGGGCACTGAAACCAGCGTGGCCGTGTCATCACCGCTCGGCAGCACCCATCCTGCCGCACATGACGGATTCCCCGAGCCGCCACCCCGGCTGCAGGTGGCCCCGTGGTGCAGCCTCCCAGCTGGGACATCCCCTGCCTGCCTCGCCTGCCCTCCTGCCCTGGGAACCCCCTCTCTGCCTCTGTCGGGGTCCCAGAGGGTCCTGGAGCAAAACCCTCGCGCCCAGCCCTTGGGCAGGCGTGCTGCTGCACTCGCTGCCTGCTCCCCTGCCAAACTGGCCCCGAGCCCTGCACACCCCATGGGGCACGGTCATGGTGTGGGGGAACCCCCGCGGTCCCCGGCTCTGGGGGCGGAGGCAGCCCCATGCTCCTGCCTGCTGGGGAGCCCGCGGTGGGGAATCCAGGGGGGCTCTGAACAAAGGAGGCAGCCTCCAGCAGAGGCCTTGCCATGGGGTTTGTGTTGGAGCCAGAGGAAGAACGGCCCCGACTGTCCCGTCTGCTGGGGACCCGGGCCAGAGACCCGCAGGGAAGCCCGGCAGCTCCGGGCAGGGCTGGGGCCACAGCAGAGGGCTCAGGAGCTCCCAACACCGAGCAGCTCCTGGCAGCTTCAGGGACATCACTCCACTGCTTTGCTGTAAATGCAGTTCCCATCTCTTGCACCTCGTTCCAGTTCAGCTTTTGCCATTGGCTTTGAGGAGCTTTTACTTTACCCAAACCTCCCTGCCCGTCCCAAGCGCAAAGCACGGGGTCGGTTTGGGCTGGCGTGGGGGGGGGGCAGGCTGTGCGGGGCAGCGCAGAGATCTCGTCACCCGTGGTGGCACTGGGAGGGGCGCCCATGGACAGCCAGCAGCCCCGCTGCCACCCCCGGGACACCAAAACTGCCACGGGGGAATGTGGTGGTACCAGAACGAGCCCCCGCAGGGCTGGGAGCTGCTCCCTGGGCAGGCAGAAGCTGCGCACCCGCGGGCACCGGCTGTGCTCTGCCCCGAGCCCCCACAGCAGCTCCTCCTGTGGCAGGACGGGCTGAGGGGGCTGCAGCCTGGGGCCCCCGGGGTGCAGCACCCAGCCGGAGCACCCCCCCCAGCACCCCCCCGGCACCCCCCCCTATCAGCGCGGGTGGCAGGCTTTGTTCCTGGCGGTGAGACGGGCACAGCAGCTGCTTTCTAAAAAGGGCCGGGCAGCAACTGTGACAATGACGGGGACCTGCCTGCCCCAGCCCGCGCCACGGGAACGATGCGGCGCGAGGAACGCCGGCTGGCAGCGACAGAACGGCTCCGGGGATGAGAAGC